TTTGTCATTGTTTTTCTTAATTTGTTAAAAATCTATCAAACCCATGTAATGTTTTCTAAATTTTGGTTGTAACGTAATTGTTTCATAGTGACGAGTTAATATTTATACCACTAAGTTTGAGTGATTACAATTTTTTTTTTTTTTATTTGTATGCGGGTAATTACTCACATATAAAAGAAGTAATAATTATTAAGATACAACCCAAGATATTAAAAGAACATTATTTTGAATACAGATCCTTGCACCTGCTCCTTCAAACTATTCCTGCAAAATTGTAAATTATTAGTTGAATTTCTTGAAAAAAATATTTTTTTTTTCATATTTTTTTGAATATTGGTATTAAAAATATGATGATTATATAAACATACATTTATAATAAAATGTTGATATTTATAACCTTAGTTAAAACACAAATCATGCTCAATTAACCCATATACATTAGCCCATTTACCTGATTTGACTGTTTTTTAATAAACAATATGAAACATTTTTGTAAATCTAATGATTGCAAAATATAATGGAATTTAAGATTATATATTTGTGTTATCATTTAAGAGATAAAAAAAATTAACGTAGATATCTTATTTTTATAAAATTAATACCTAACATATGTCCATTATATATGGCGGGACTGTGTCGTTCTGAGACTGGCTTGGAGTATGAGACTTCGAAGTCTTGATGGGGGTGATGAGTACGATGAGTTGAGGTACTTCTCGGAGTGGCTTGCAAGCAATGGCAATAGTACAACCAATGGACCGAACGACGGTTGTGCCGATATCGACATTCCAATGATATTCTTCTGAAATCACAAGGCTATCATAGCGTTACTATTGTTAAGAGTGCCTATCGGATGTTCAGGAGTTCAAACGATGATCTTAGCAAAAAAAAAAAAAAAAAAGATCTAAACTCTCTCACACAATTGATGTTATTGAGTCCGTTAACGAGTACATGAGCTATTTGAACTCATCCGAGGGAAGGACTTATATGAGTTCAGATATCCATTGCAAGTCAGACGCTGGATATGACTCTCTTCAAGATCTCCATACTCCTGAATTTCTTAATTGGATTAATTGTTTGGGAGTTATGAATATAAATTGACTTGAAGGTCGACACTCCAGTGATGTTGCTTAGAAACATTGATCACGCTATGGGGTTGTGCAACAGTACAAATTTGATTATTACTTAGCTCACCAGCCATATCCTCGAATGCAGTATTTTAGTCGATGCCAAAGTTGGTGATAAGGTTCTTATTCCTAGGCTCACAATGATACATCTGATTTGAGGGACCATTCAAGTTTCTTTGCAGACAGCTTCCTCTCATAGTTTCATATGTTATGACAATCAATAAGAGTTAAGATCAGTCTCTGTCGCACATCGGCTTACTACTAAAGAGTTCTATATTAAGTCATTGGCAGTTGTACGTTGCTCTTTCCAAAGTCACGAATTGAAGGGGTTTGAAGATAGTAATTTTTGGTGATGAGGATATAATGATAGAAAATCATGAATGTTGTATATAATTTTTTTTAATAATATTTAGATTAGCATTCCTAAATCTTTTTTTTCTCATTGATTAAGTTATGATTTTTATTTATCTATGTATTTTCCATTTCTTTCTTCTCTATTAGATCCTTTTCCATATAAATGCACAGGTTAAAACTAATATATAT